CAGCTTTTCTGTGGTTGGGGGCAGGTTCCATAAAGAGAACATGTCACCTCCAAACTATCACATAAGGGATTTTAATCTCCTATGTAATAGGAAGCACATTAAGGGAAAAAAGTAAATAAAAAGTTAAAGAAAATTTTAAAAGTTATTAAAAAAAATATATAAAGATTTAAAAAAATAAAAAAAGTTAAAAATAAAAAAATGAAACCCTGCTGCCCCCGCCATCTGCATGCAAATAGATGCATGCGTAGGACATTCTGCATGTGCTTTGAGATTGCAGCTGCCATTCCATGGTGAGAGCCAGAATTCTCTTACACACACATAATGTGCATTAAAGGGTAAGTTCCTTTTCCCAGGTAATATGGAATATATTATACAACAATGTAGAATGGCACCTGCTATAGAGAACTACAAATCCCAGCAATACATTATACAGGAATGTAGGACAATATTTTCAGATATAGAGGACTACAAATCCCAGCAACAGATTATACAGCAATGCAGAATAATAGTATATTCATTTGCTACATACTCTTTGCTGCTGCTCTGCTCTGGGGTGTCAGCCTGATGTCTTGGTAAGAGAGTATCAGGAGGGGTGTGGAGGGTATCAGGAGGGGTGTGGAGGGTCTCAGAAGGGGTGTGGAGGGTCTCAGAAGGGGTGGGGAGGGTCTCGGCAGGGGGAGATGTGAGGCCGGTGGAAGAGCTGAAAGCAGTCACCATGTGGTTCCCCAGAAGGCTGCCGCGAGGTCCCTAGCAAATGTGGGACTAACACAGCCAATGCATTACTTTGCATTTATCGACATTGAACCTCATCTGCCACATTAATGCCCACTCCCCTATTTTATCCAGGTCCTCCTGTAATGTTATAACGTCTAAGTCTGTGTCGATTACCCTCCCAATTTTGGTGTCACTCCATTTCTGACTCCCCTAGCGGCATACCCATAATTGTATAACCCATTTGTCTATTTTTATGTCCAAAATGCATTACTTTGCATTTATCAATATTAAACCTCATCTGCCACATTAATGCCCACTCCCCTATTTTATCCGGGTCCTCCTGTAATTTTATAATGTCTAAGTCTGTGTCGATTACCCTCCCAATTTTGGTGTCATCCGCAAACACGGAAATATTGCTGTTAACACCCTCCCCGATGTCATTGAACCCTGAGGCACACCGCTCATTACTCTAGCCCAGACTGAAAAGGTGCCATTTACAGATACCCTCTGGACCCGTTCCCGTACTCACCCAAATGCTCCGATACCTTCCCCGATATTGGAACTTACGCCCAGATGAAAATTTCCTCTGACTGGCAGTGCCGTACGGGAACATGGAGCCAGCTTCCCGTGCAATCAGGAAGCCGTGCGGCAAGTAATGACCCGCCTCCTGGTTTTCTGATTGGCCCGGGAAGCCGGCTCCTTGCTGATTGGCTGGAAAGCCGGCTTCCTGGCCAATTAGCATCGAGCCAGTTTCCCGGTCAATCAGGTCATTAGTCGCCACTGATTGACCGGGAAGCAGGTTTCCCGGCCAATCGCAATCAAGCAGGCCAAACAACATGGAGCAATCAGGAACCTGGGCGGGATGTCATTACCTGCTGCCCGGTTTCCTGATTACCAGGGAAGCCTGCTCTATGTCAGCGGAAGCACCGGTATTAGTATTCAGTGTTGGCGAGATCCGAAAGCAAAAAATCGCTACTCGTACTCGATACCGAAAAAGCGGTATTGGTGCATCCTTAGTTTTGATTAAAACTATTTTTTGTATTGGGACAAGTAGATTGTCGTGAAGGACAAGTAGATTTGGCCCCCACTTTAGCCCTTGGACAAGTAGTTTTTAAAAAAATTTCCACACCCCTGATCCCCATCCCTGGATACCTCCATCCCCGTATCCACCATCCCTATCCCTGGTTATACCATCCTTAAGTACCCCACCCCCAGTCTTGGGTCCACCACACGCATCCCTGGGATCCCCACACCCATCCTTGGGTCTACCGCATACGTCCCTGGGTACCCAAGCATCATCCTTCAATGTACCATGCCGCGGGTGACGCTCGTGCAGTAGAGTCTGCTCTGCCAAACCCCTTAGTCTAACAACTAAACCGGAAGTAAGGCAGTTGGGAAACTCGAGGAGTTGGAGCTTTCGACAGAACACCGGACGCACGCGCAGTGCGCCGCTTTTCACTGTGAAACATCACAGGTGTTTGGGGTTTGTGACAGAACAGCCAACTGCTACCCATGATCAATATAGGTGACGGAGACTGCGCATGTGCTAAAGCAAGAGTCGGGGAGAATTATGAGGTAAAGCTGGGCGTAGCAAGGAGATTGGTTGTTGGTGCAATTTGCGTCATCATTGTGCGCTTCGCTTTAGTATTGTTCCCTGATTGTTTAAAAACATGTCGGTGAATTATGCAGCTGGTCTGTCCCAATATCCTGATAAAGGGAAATGCGGACTTCCTGAGGTACGAGTAAGGCGTTATAGTCGTGTTGTTTGCTGTAAATGCGTTGTTAATGCTGCCTGCTTCGTTTTCTCTGTTCCACCGGAAGGATTTGTGGCGTTTTGTAGTCGAGAAATGTATAATTGTTTTGGGAGATTTACCACAGACGCAGGAGTAGCATCCTATGTACTTTATTGCAGATCTTTAGAAAACGTTTGAATTTATTTTTCTTAATTACATAGGTTTTTTTTTCTTTAGTTCTTATGGTTGTCAAAAGCAGCTCGAAACTGTGAGCTTAGTATAAATGGCAACCGCGAGATTGAGTGCTTGCCTGACCTGATAGTCATAGTTAAGCTATTGTGGTGAAAGGGTAGACTTTGCGTGCGCACACACAGGTCATTTCAAGTTACTTTCCCCATTCATGAACTGTTGAATAAATTATAATAGTGTAGGGATGTGTTCCCTGATTGCTTTGACTGTAGTTCGTGTTACTTTCAATTTTTTGAGTTTTTTTTGTCTTGCAGAGCATTGAACCCAGGGATAATTTGTATCACATCCCCTGCCAGTCACTATTTTGGGGAGGCTCTAGAGCAGTGGTCTCAAAGAACTGGCCCGCGAGCAGGTACTATGTGGCCAGCAGCCAGCTCACAAGTCTGGTACGTGGCCATGGACCGCGTACCAGACTTGCGGGAGCAGCTACAAGGTCTGTATCTCTGCCGGATGCAGACTGTGTAGATGTTTCGGAGAGGGGGCTGTGTATCTTATTTACATGTGGCTGTGCGGTGGCGGCTGGGAATTATATTATTTGTGGGGTGGACTGGGAGAATTCACACCTGTATCTTTAGGTGCAATTAGGGATTCCTGCATCAGGAACATGCGTTTCGTGCAGCAGAAATCCCTAATCTGGTGTTTACACACGGCTGCTGTCACCCATTCAAATTAATGATCAGGTGACAGCAGTTGCATATAAACTCGTGCACAATGCATGTAATGGTATGTGATATTATTACATTCGGTTAGGAATCAATCACTCTCCCTGGATGCAATGATTGTGTATCCAGGGAGAATCTAAGTGCATGTAATAATATCGCATATCATTACATGCGGTGTGCAGGGATTTCTGCTGCAGGAAAACGCAAGTTTCTGACGCAGGAATCCCTAATCGCCCCTAAACCTACAGATATGCTTAGGTCCGTAGTGTGTGTGTGTGTGTGTGTGTGTCCGTAGAATCATATCGCATATAGTTACATTTTATTTTAAAGGAGACCTCTGGGGTAAGTGTTTTTCCCCATAGTTCTCCTCAGGGTCACGGGAGGACATAATCTAGCGTCCTCCCGTGACCCAAAGCTCAGTATACCGCGAGCTACAGCTAGCGGTATACCGAGACAGCCTGGAGGGGTCCCGACACTACTGTCGAGATCCATCCAGCTGCATGATTGACAGCTGGCTCTGCCTATCTAGTGGGGGATCGGGGAGGGGGGGAATCCCTGCAGGGAGCCATGAGGAAGTCTTTTGCCAGTCTTCTCTCTTAGTCAGAGGACTAGTAAATGGGACTGAACTGGCAAATGGGTGTTTATTTGGTTTTGAAGTAGAGCCTAGAATGTATCATCAGTCTCCTTAAATCAGAACTTAACAGGAAAGAAAAATGCAAGCAGGCTATTTGTGGCAGAGAAGAAATGCTGTGGGGGAAATTTACCCAGCTGTGCATGGCAACCAATCAGATTCTAGCATCCATTTTCTGAGCTTAACTGAACAAGCTGTTGATATAATCTGTCTGCTCTAGTTTTAGTACATCTCTCCCCCCCGCGATGTTCTTTAGCAAGCATAAATGCTTAGGGATTTAAAAAACATAGGGATGTAATAGCTGTGAGGTAGAGGGTCTTGTGAAAGAGTTTTGTTTTAAAGGACAATGAGGCCACAATGCACTCATTTTCTTGCATTGGTTTCCCTTTGTATTTGGCAGCCAGTTGCATTCTGGAGGTTCATTTGGGTGTCAATTAAAAATAAATGGCACCACAACACATTTCTATCGCTCAATTCCCGTGACCTGCAGTTTCAGGTGCCGGGCAGGTAGTTTTCTTTCTACATTTAGCCCTGCTTTTGGCAAGCAGGGCTAAATGTACAGCAGGGGAAGCCGGTGCTCATTTTTGTATAAGTGATCCCCCACCCCCTAGGTCAATCGCCCAAGCCACCCCCTGGTTTTCAGGCTCCCCTGGCCTCTGCAATAATTTCAAGATAGGGAGCAGATTTTTCGCTCTGATCAGTGACACAGGAGCACTTTGTCAGTTGTCACATGTGGAGCTGTATAGAAGATTGAGCACAATGCTTTACTGGATTTTCTGTACTGGAGTCCAGGCTTCATAAAGAGAGCCCGTCACCTCCTGAATGCTTAAATCTGTCCCCCAACCCCCCCCCCGCGCTATACTTACTTTTTGGCGAATGGTCCTTCCCCACCGCCAGTACAGGTGTACTATCTGTACCCCATACTACCATCCGTTGCAGCCCTGTGCTATAGATTTAGAATTTTATTCGGAAATTGCGAGCACTCGTAAGCGCAATCAGAGGTGCTTCTTAGCAAGATTTAAATACGGTTTTGGTTAAAATCATTTTTTGTATCAGGACAAGGAGATTGCCATGAGGGAGAAGTAGATTGGGCCTCTGCTTTAGTCCTTGGAAAAGTAGTTTAAAAAAAAAAAATCCACATCCCTGAACACAGTAACTTGTGCATGCTGCGCTAAGATTTACCACAGTGTAAAATGTTAATAGCTGTTTTTTGTTTTGTTCTTTTTTATTATAAATATTAAATGATGAGCAGGGAACGTAATTAACCGCTTGCCGGCCGTACACTCGCGTGAAACAACCAAAATGTAATAACAGCCAGCTATGCCTGTTTACATACAAGTGATCGCTTTTATGGGGTGCCGATCGGAGCTCCCCACCCCTCCGCTGGTCCCGGGCTCCGCTGTGCCTGGTGCGAGCCCCGGACCAGCATTGTGGCTCTCTGACAAGGGATCAGAGGGAGATCAGTACACTAACTCCCTCCGGTCACCTCTCCGGTGTCAGAATGTGGACGTGATGTATATTACATCACTTCCACACAAGTGTGAGACAAGAATGTGGAAGTGATGTAATATACATGATGTAATGATCTCTGCTTCTTTGGGGGTCCCTGGGTGACAGGGGTCAGAGAGACCCCTGATGTCTCCATAAAGAGGACCTGTTGCATATCTTTGCTATCACATAGGGGGGTTTCTTAGCCCCCTATGTGTTAACAATAATGTTAAGTGGTAAAAAAAATTTAAGTTACACATGAAAGAATATTAAAAAAACACAATTTTTTAAAAAGTGCCCACCCATACATACACGTGTGCAAACATGCGTCGCAATTTTAAAGCTAGACATGTCTGGTGTCTATTTACCCGACGTGACCCCGTGTTTTATATTTTACCAAAAAATTGGGTAACAATAATGTATTATAACATAATGTAAAAAAAAACTTTTTTTTTACTCTTAATTTTCAGTTTTTTCTTTAACCACCTCAGGGCTGGCCGTTGTAAAAAAAATGGCCGGCCGAGAGGTTTCTAGATCTGAGCGGGCGTCTTAGTGATTGCAGCAATATACAAACAGACCGCACTATCCAGAGAATTCCAATACTGCAGACTTTATTACAATTCACAGCAAATCCAGTATATCAGTGAAAGAGTGTAAAAAAGCTACAAAAGCCAGCACTGCACCCCCCCCCCCCCAACCAACTATAACCTCTCACATGTTTCACCCGAAGGCTTACTCATAGTGATTGCTTGATGCGTGACTATTCTAAACATTTCTAAAAAATAATAATCAAAACTTGTGAAAAGTGTTTGTTTTCTTCCCTCCTTTAAAAAAAAAAAAAATATTTTATTCGAACTAAGTGAGGCGTTGGGTACACATGTTTGATATAAATAGCCCTTACTGTCCTCTAAAAAAACAATTATATAATATGTATGGGTACATTTAGTAAGAACGTATATTACTGCCATGGAAGAATCGCACAGCAAAAAAGTGTCAGTCATTTATGAACAGAAACTGAAAACAAGCTGTCATGAAGGTGCTAAAGGGCACTGTAAAGGTGCTCATACACCTGCCGATTTTTCTTACGATAATCGCGGGTCATCCCGCGATCGTACGATCGGCAGGTGTGTGGAAGGCGTGCGACCGTTTCTACTGTACGGTCACACGTCTGTTGAAAACCCGCCGAGAATCGTACGATTTTCGGCGGGTTAGTGGCGTTCTCGGGAGACAAATGCCGCACAGGCTGTTGTGCGCACACTGCCTGTGTGGCATTGGAATCATTGGAAGCCCTCCTCTCAGCAGGGCGGGCATGTGATAATCGCAAGTACGATCTGCCTGTCCAAGATGGGCAGATCGTACGAGCTTTTAATTACTTTACAACCATCGCACGATGAAAGTCGTGCGATGGTTGTAAGGTGCATGGCCAGCTTTAGACTTAACACTTCTTTGTGTGTTAATGCACCTGGAATACATTTAGATTTACACTGAATATTTTTGAGGGGCTTAAGTAAGTTAAATGGTCTAGGGTTAATATCAATTTGTTTTTCTGCTCATTTACTGCACGAGGATGACTGTCGGTAAAGGTAGATTATTATAAGATGGAAGCAGTAGCACATTTTAGGCAAATTCAGGTTACCCAAATCATTAAAAATGCTGGCTTTTAAAAATTCTTTCTTTTTTTGATGTAGGTTTTTGATCCACCGCGAGAATTGCATCGGAAGGTGCAGAAGCTTGCTGAAATGATCCGAAAAGCCTCTTATGTGGTATTTCATACTGGAGCAGGAATCAGCACTTCTTGTGGGATCCCTGATTTTAGGTCTGTGTTTTGTTTTTTTCCATCCAGAGACTATACAGCATAGATATATGTTGCAAAAGGAGAGCGAAAAACTAAAGCAAGATTAACCTCTTGCCGTCCGCCCGTAGTAGAAAAACGGACGGACGGCACTGCTGCATCTGCGGGTTGCCGTCTCCAGACGGCAATTTTTTTCTGCTCGCGCGCGCCCCCTAGCGGGCACGCACGGGCAGAAGAGACCCGAATTACCTATGTCATAAAAATAACAAACTGGCACCTTTTTTTAGAAATGTTTAGCAATGACAATCTACAAACAGATACTTCTAGATAGAGATGCACCAAAATGGCATTTTGAGACCGAAAATAAATGTCATGCCAAAACCGAAATGATGTATGTTTTTTAAATTCTTAATAACATTTTAAGTTTTATTTTAATTTCTTTTTACTTTTTAAAATAGAAAAATAGATTGAGGACATAGAGTCCTCCTCCTATTTCTCTTTTTCTGCATCCCATTTTATGAATGAACAGGAAGCCTCTATACTGAGAGTTCCTACCCATTTACACTTTGTGGATTTAGTGTACTTGCTGTGTCCACAACCATGCATTAACAGGAATTGAAATAGATCACTTCCCATTCATTCATAACTGGACATAGTAACTACAATGTGTATACTGTATACCGCTCTCCATCCTGACTCGGCTGTAACTGGAGGGGGGTGGGCGATGGGGGAGGAGAGCTCCGCCTCCTGTAGCAGATCACAGTGCTCTCTTCCACTCACAGGTCTCCATCCTGACACAGGATGCTCCGCCTCCTGCAAAGATGACTACTTTCACCGCCCTGCACCACTCAGCATCCTGAAAGCTCTCCTTCCCGCTGGGTGCTGGTGCTGCATCAGAAGGCACACAGACTGGAGCTCAGTGGGAAGGAGAGAAGCTGGGATGCACTGAATTTTTGGCCATCATGGCACTTTAAGCAATTTGCCAAAAGTGCAATTTTTGGGCAAAATTTTTCTGGCCGACGAAATTTCGGTGCATCCCTACTTCTAAATAATTGCCGGCTTTTCATTTTTTGCATACCTTATTTTTCTTCCCCATTCTTCTGACAGTGGTCATTTTAACCAAGCGCAGATTACTATGTCTCCCTTTTACTTCCTGGAACTCTGGCACATGTGACTAGGACATGTGACCATGCACCTTAAGTACCTTTCTAAAGCTACATTAGTTGTTGTTTTTTATTTATTAATGAGAAGCGGGTGGTCAACTGTGTCAAAGGCAGCAGAAAGGTCTAAAAGTATGAGTACAGAGTAGTGGCCATTGGTTTTAGCAGATAGTAGATCGTTAGTAAGTTTTAGAAGGGCAGTTTCAGTGGAGTGTTGCGGACGAAAGCCAGATTGAAACGGGTCAAGGAGATTAACTGTAAGGTGGTGGCTGAGGCGGTTGTAGAGCAGCCGTCAAGAAGTTTGTTATGCAAGAAATATAACAACCACATTTTAATTGAAGGATATGTAGCCAAGCATGTTCTCTAAAAGTAGAATGCATGAACATTGGTGGAGTGCTGCATCAGGATTTTGGTAGATATTTAGATCTGTTGACATTTCAGTTAGACTGCTCTCTATGACCCAATGGGTCTGAAGAGGAGGTACTCGCATTGACAAAGTGTGTTAGAATAAATGCCAAATGTATGGTTGACAGTCCAGTAAAAAAATAAATATTAAAGAATTAAAAACACTATGCCCAACAAGTTGTTGTTTTTTTTTTTTTTTTTGGGGGGGGCTTTACCTGTCCTCTTTTATCAGGGCTACAAATTACTTCTAAACCTTTTCATTACATTTGTATATAAGGTAAGTCAATACATGATATAATATGATACTGTGTAAAAAGTAATGTGTAAGGATTCCCAAACCCTATTCTGGCCTCTCATATGGCAAGAGTTTTCGAGTGGTGTAACGTCTCATCTGATAAAAGGTGGATTCACTTACAACAGTCCTCTTGCCTGTTCAATATCCTTTGAACTGATCATCCCATACCGAGCGAGATCAGTTGCTATTCGACAATTGGTTGCACGGTGCGTGTACTTAGAGGGTTCACAAGGTCTACTATTAGTCGCATTCCCATCCCCATTGCTATTGCCTGTGATTATCGGCAATCCCTCTCTTCCCTCCTGGCCTTTCCGATAAAGCGTTTGCCCCTTCCTAGCATCTTACAAATTTCGGATAGTGCATTTTTTGTCATCCTCGGGTGTTTCTAATCTAAGTGACTTGTCGACTAACATTTTCCCACCTCTACTGAAGTGGCAGGCCTTGCAACTTCTCCATTTCCTATATTATTATTTGAATAACTTAACTCCTAGGTCAGACCTCGCCCCTTTCGAGGATTTTGGTTCAAACAGCACTTACCTAGATCATGGTTTATCCAAAGCCCATGCTCTCCTGGCTAGTTCACCGGTTCTGTCTCCACCACCATTTCTCTCAATGTGGGAAAGGGATCTCGACATTACGTTCTCAGATGTGCAAAGAGAATACATTCTCCACTTCGCTCATAGGGCATCTATCGCCAGCTCCGTTCAAGAGTCGGGGTAAAAAATCCTCACCAGGTGGTTCTACCTCCCTACTACCCTCCATAAGATGTTTCCACACTGCTCTCCCCTCTGCTGGAGATGTGGTCAACAGGGCACCATCCTGCATGTATTTTTTTCGTGCCCTCACCTCTGTTATTTTTGGGATCTGGTTATTCGCATTAGTGCACAACTCACTGAGCTTCATTTAACTAATAACCCAGCAGTCTTGCTACTTCATATGTCTCCACTCTCCAAGGCTCGATACCAGCGCTTTCTCCTGATTCACTTCAGGACTTCAGAGTTATGTTCCCTTTGCTCCCCTTATGGTCCCTTTCCCCCCCTCTCATGCTCTTGCGCTCTTCTGTTCCTTGATTCTTGACGCCCACTACGAAATAGGGCAATTTCTGTTTTGACCAGATTTTTTGTGTTTTACATATATTATTATTATTATTATTATTATTATTATTTATTATTATTATCCCACATTAGTGAGTGAACTTGACACGAGTGTCTCTAAATCCGGTTTCTTAGTTTAGTTTGCGACGTAAGCTACTGTTCTTCTGTACCTCTAATTTATGTCAGTTATCTGAAAAATGCCTGCGTTCCTTTCTCATTATTTCTGTATTTGTATGTGTTTGGAACATTTTTAAAAAGTTTTTTTTGTTGTTGCAAATAACGAGTTTAAAAAAAAAGTAATTTTGGAAAATCGGGCACTAAAACTGTAAGGACACATAAAAAAAAAAAAAAACAGGTTATATACATTTAATTCTATGTAGATACACTGGCTAATTTGCCAGTTCGGCCATTAATTTGTTTCAGGGCTAGCCAAACTTCGGCCTTTCAGCTGTGGTGATACTAATGCCAATAGTCATTGCAAGACTCTTACAGCCACACGCATGACTTTCAAAGTCCGGTGCTTGATGGTATTTGAAGTTTTCCCACAGCTGGAGGCTGAAATTTGGCTACCCCTAATTTATTCTATTGCTGCTGGAGGCAAAACCTTGGTTAGAAAAGTGTGCCACTTTAGATCAGTCAGTACTTGCCTTCTATGTCCAGGTACTCATCCAGCTCTTTTTCTGACAGTCACTATACAGGAAAAATGGATGACCGCACACCAGCTATGCCATAGTTATAGTATTTGAGGCTGAAAAATGACACGGGTCCATAGAGTTCAACCTTATGTATAAGTGTGTGTGTGGTCCTATGTTTTAAGAGTACCTGTACCTCTGTATGTTATGGTCTCTGAGGAAGGCATCTAATTGATTTTTGATTTCAATACTCTCTGCTGATACCACTCCTTGTGGGAGAGAGTTCCAAAATGTAACCACTCTGACTGAGAAGAAACTCCTACGCCCTTTTGGATATATCTTTTCTCAACCAATTTTAGGTGGTGGCCTCTAGTCCTTGTTACAGAGTTTACTGCGGATGTTGCCATCTCCACCAAACATTCTTGTACATTAAAATCATGTCCTTTCTTAATCTCCCTTCCAACGTGAACAAGTGCAATTTTAGCAACCTTGTCTCATAACTTTGATCGTCCAGCCCATTAATGAGTTTAGTTGCCCTTCTCTCTCTCACCAGTTCCTGGACATCTTTTCTGTGGATTGGTGACCAAAACTAACTGCATACTCCAGATGAGGACGAACCAGTGATCTGTAAAGTGCAAAATTATTAACTTTATCTCTACAGAACATTCCCTTTTTAATACAAGACAGTACTCTGCTCGCTTTGTTTGCCACAGCCTGGCATTGCAAGGTATTATTCAATCTGTGGTCTACTATGACCCCCAAATCTTTTTGTATTTCTGACTTCCCTAGAGGAGCACCCATTAATGTGCATTCCGCTTGCTTGTTTTTAACCCCAAAATGCATTGCCTTCTATTTATCAACATTTAACCTCATCTGCCAAATAGATGCCCACTCCCCTATTTTATCCAGGTCCTCCTCCAATGTTATAATGTCTAATTCCGCCAGAAGGAATCACTTTATTAATTTATCCAACAATCACGAATGTGAGAGAGCACATGCATTAGTTCACGGTTATTTACTGATATATTATACACAGTTGCGATTGTATATATAGGTGGACACAAGACTCCTTGTCATCTTTAGTTCTCTGAGTGCTTTCCTTTCTTGGGGTGTCAGGTTATCTTTCCCTTTTTAGTAGATGCATACTAAGGCCTGGTTCACACCTAGGCGTATTGCATATGCACGTCTGTCGCACGTTTTTTTACTGCGATTCGCGCGCGGGGGGGGAAACGCGTGACAAACGCATATTTCCGAGGGCTACTTGGCTGTATCCCAATGGAAACGCGCAACAAAAACGGCCCAAAGTAGTACATGTACCTTTTCAGGCGTGGGCCGTTTTGTAGCGCATTAGGGACGGGCTGAAATACGCCAAGGTGTGAACCAGACCCATTGAATACAATGGGATTTAGATGTTTGAGCGTTTTGTAGAGCGTTCGTC